TGTCACCAGGCATATGACGTGCTAATTGCCCCCTAGCTCTTCGGTGCCTCAGCCGTCACGAAAGAATACGTCCTCGGCGTAACTGATTACTCCCGCGTAACATGGACGCAAAACTTCATTGCTTCTATTGCTGGTGCCGTAGCCAGGTCAATATTCCTCTTTCCCTTGCCGTACAAACTGACTGATTCAATACACTAACAGCATAACGATCGCTGCCCCCCTGGACACCGTCAAAACTCGCATTCAAAATGCTAACTTTGAGCGCAAAGTCAGCGGCATACAGGTCGTCAAGGAGCTCGTGAAAAATGAGGGTCCTACGGCCTTTTTCAAGGGTTTGACTCCTAAGGTTGGTTCTCCTCTCCTTCCCTATCGACGAAGGCTGACACACATGCACGCACTATTCGTAGGTCCTAGTGGTGGGCCCGAAATTGGTGTTCAGCTATACCCTTGCGCAATCGCTGATACCACTGTTCTCCAAATACGTTTAAGCCCTCCTCTCAACACTTTTACCTTGAATCGCTCAAAATCACCCCCATGGATATATGACCCCCTCAAAAATATGGAAGTTTGGATCCTTTACCCGCCCCCATATAGATATGGATCCTTTGCCACACCACAGCCCCCCACCAGTTAATCAACTCCACCCACCCATGATACTGATGTTAATGCACACTGTAATACTCACTCATTTGAACTAGCACTTATCTTTATACAATCCCCCTACTCTGCCTCATGGTTGTTCTTTTAGTTGTTCTGCGTCTTTGCTGTGATACTCAAGGCTGCAAGATCTAAGTTTTGAAGACTTTAGAAGATTCTTGCGTCAAGGCGAAGACCCACATCAAGTTAACCAACCTCTTCAATGCGACTTGTAATCGCCTCCACGGGTACGGTCGTGCGACTTTGGTCTTTCATGACACTTACCCTTCTTTCAAGATGGCTGCTCCTTCCTGTACGCAGACGTCAGCCATACCCTTCTCAAAAGCAGGCTCCTAAAAGCAGCCACTCGTATCGCTCGATGAGTCTCTTCATACTATTAGCGGTATGACAAATAATATGATGTGATCATTGATGGGATGGACAAATAAACAAACCTAAGACTCGAGCTGGCGATACTATGTTTGTTCAGGAGTTTGAAACTGCACATTATCTTGCCCTCCGCTTACCCTAGGATCTTGAAATTTTCAGAGAAGATGTATTTATGCATTAAATTCACTATTCCAGAATTTCAGAGGAAGACTCAAAGATTTGTGCGCTGGAGGCATGACTTTGTGCTTTTCATTACACCAACCAAACAAAAGTAATGGAATGTTTTCTCAGATCCCTTTGGATTGGGCAGACTGTTTATTCTGAAACTTTCCAAGTACATTCAAATGGCATTTGAGAGTCTACATACAAATTTCTAGAGAGATACATGAAGTGCTCTTGGGAGGGAGGGCAAAATACCAAATTTTGTTTGCAAACAGCTCTCCAACCGTGACATTTGTGTGACATTCGCCTGTCAAACGACCTTCATCTGTCAGCCAAAGTAATTGTGACCTTGCGTGACAGCAGTTTCAATCTCCTGATATTTTTGAATTTTGAGTATCGGAATGCCTCCGACAGCGAATACAACACATCTACACCAATAAAAATTAGATATTCATATAGAAGAGAAAAAGCTAGATCGAGTGGTCAAAAAATCTGAAGGACTTGAGGAAGTGGTGAGCCAGAAATCGTGCAATGCTGAAAAAGTTTCAAACTCCTGAACAAACATAGTAGAGTGGCTGCCGGAAAGGTTGCTCAGGGAACTCGGAGATCATTGATTAACCCTAGTGTTGGGTCCCAATCTGCAAGGTGTCACATTTTGGTCACCAACACTGTTTACACCTAATCTACAGGCACTTTGAGCACATCATCTACACCGTCTTCATCTGGTATCATTTTTCTAAGTACAGCTATATCTCTAGAATGGACACATCCTTCCTTTGGCCAACAGATGTGTGCTATCAAGTCATTTGGACCCAATTCCTTTCTTTGGATGAAGATTCATTTTGAGGTGGAAGAGGCCTATAACAGGCACCATGAACTGTACATGACCACAGGGCATTGATTCCTCTGCTATGTATATATTGAACTTAACATGACATTACAAGTTGGAGTATGACAAGTATGCTATGGTGGCCTACTGCAGCACAGTTCTGTACTTGCCTCTCCTTTACCAAGTACTGCTGCTGTATGAGGACCTGCCCAAAAAGGCATTGGTTGGGACCCAACATTAGGGCTAATCAATGA